GTGTGTGTGTGTGCGTGCGTGCGTGCGTGTGTGTGTGTGTGTGTGTGCGCGCGCATGTGTGTGTGTGTGTGTGTGCGTGGGCGAGCGTGTGTGTGTGTGTGTGTGTGTGTGTGTGTGCGCGCATGTGTGTGTGTGTGTGTGTGCGTGCGTGCGTGCGTGTGTGTGTGTGTGTGTGTATGTGTGTGTGTATGTAGCTATAATGTGGATAATTAATGCTATTGTGTTCATCCGTACGTATATTTTATTCTCTGGAAATATATGTGGTCCTATTATATACACTTCTTTTTTTCTAAGCGTGTAAGCCCCTATTTTTACAGTCCATTGTATGTATCATGTGTGCTCTCATTTGAATTTATAGCCAATAACCTAGTTCCTTGTGTTGCTAACGAAATTCGTGCGCCGCTTTGTGATAGGAACGATCTGTAAACGTTAACATATCACGTACCTGGGCCATGGCGAACAGCGTTGATGCGAGGGCTGATCGGGAACGTTCCCATCATATCTGTGAACTGCAGAATTTTTTTGATTCACAAATCTTGAATCATCATTCAATCATATTCATGTAATCATGTAATCATGAATCATGTAATCATATTCAAGCGCATACGCTCTCCTAAAACACTCCTACACTACGTACGTACGTTCCTATATCGTGCGACTATTCACGGAATACTATATATGATCAGTGTGTGTGTGTGTGTGTGTGTGTGTGTGTGTGTGTGTGTGTGTAGTGTGTGTGTGTGTGTGCGTGCGTGCGTGCGTGCGTGCGTGCGTGCGTGCGTGCGGCGTGCGTGGGTGTGTATGTTCGTTCTAAAGGTGCGACTATTCACGGTATACTATGGCGCTACAATGGGGATGTATATCACGGGTAAAAAATCTTAAGAGCGATAACTGTATTAAGATTATCTTTGAAATAAGTATTGAAATAAAAAATAAGATGAAAAAAATCGAGATAACCTTTGATATTATTTACCCCTAATATATATATAATGTATACATACTATTAAATATCGCCCATGGGCGTGCACGTCCAGGAGAGGTGAAGGCGAGTTAATGTATGACATAAGCAATTAAGATTCGATCGTGAGCTAATTAGTTCACGGTTGCCATCAAAAACCAAATTATGATGCAAAGGAAAGCGCACGCGCGCGCGCGAGAGAGAGTGAGAGGAGAGAGAGGGGGCGGGGGAGCCGGAGACAAATAGACAGGGTGAGATAGAAGGGGAACGAGAGAGAAGAGGGAAGAGGTAATTTCATTTCATCAAATACTATAGGTCGTATGAATTCTATGGTAAATATATGAAATGCCACTTCATATAATATAGTAGGGTATATCAGTAATGTGCCCGTTTTTCGCATATACAATGCTGTTCCAAACACTAAACGACGCTGAAATTATAACTGCAATTACTTTATTAATTTCACGATGATCGTTTATTATTATTCTGCAATATGTCTACTATCTTGTTGGTCTCAAAGTTGTCTCGCTGGTTCATTGCATGGCTATATCATTGAGTGTTATCTATAGTAACAAGAGCCCATTAACCCCATAATAATTAATAATTATAATTAATAATTATTAATAATAATTAATAATTATAATTAATAATTACTAATAATTATAATTAATAATTATTAATAATTATAATTAATAATTAACCATTAATAATTAGGGGTTAATGGGCTCTTGATAATAAGTATGAACGTGTGGATTCAATTGGACAAAAAACATATACGCTAAGTAAATAAATACACTTGGCGAACAGGTTACGATCGGTAATTATTTATTCAGGTAATTAGACAACTAGGCATGACATCCTAAACAACATTTTCGACGGTGTGCCGACATGCGTCGCGATCAAAGAGCCAACTGGATGAAATGCATCGTTGCGTGGAACTCCGAGTAGTGGTTGCTGAATGCCAAGAATAGCTCCGCTTGGGCGCTCATGCGACATACCATCTGTGTACATAATTATGCGCTTCCATACTAGCGAACCTGTATACGTACACCTCTGTCGTGTTCACTGGCACGAGGAGCATTGTAAACACTGCCTGTGCGCTAACCAGCTAGAGTTCCGCATCGCCAAACCGGCCATTTCTAAAACTGATGCGAAATGTTTTTATGCGTGAGAAATACCGACGCAAAGCAACACGATCGGCCGTCTTCTGCCATGCGGTTGGCCAGCATTCATGCGTTGTTCGCGGACAATTGAGAAAGACGGGAGAACTGAATCAACCGACTCTTGTGAACGACATCACGCCGTTTCTTGTTTTCCCGTATCCGCCACTGCCAATGTCATTGACATTTTTGCGCTGCAAGCGCGAAGAGAGGAAAGATTTAAACAGCCAGCACACCAGTTTTTGATACCGCTGCATAAGCGCAGGAAAGTGTTATTGTGTCTCTACGTGTGTACATATGACACACGTATCATATAGTACGACATCAGAGACTTTACACACAAAATGGGCAGAGAAGACCGAATCGAAGAAATGGAGAGAACTGAAATTCTGAAAGGTGCGTTAAGCTTTATTGGTTGTATGTTTTTCGTTTAAGTTATGTTATTTCTTTCTCGCCCTTTGATATGCAAAAAATTCAGCGGCCACTGATGCTTCGCAATATGAGATGGTACTACACAAAAGTGTATTCTTTACAGCAAATCAATCGTATACCCAATAAAGTAGTGGAAGAATAATCTTTCAAGTTCCAACGCTTCATGTTGGTTGGTTGTAGATAGAATGCACTTCACAAGGCAGTGCGTGATACGTTGTCTTTGGTTAGCTGTCATTCCATAGCCCTGCTCACATGCTTATTGAAGTAAAGGATATGACTCCTCGTCCTGTATCCGTTAACTTACTGATTGTATAGTATAAAATAGTTAATGTGCTTTTTATTGTGACTATTATAGAGATTATAGAGATTGAAGGTAATTTTGAATTGATGTCAATTGTTGATTGCTTGCCATAATACATATTTCATATGTGTCGCGGACGTTGCTGCTTTCAGCGCCGTTCCTCTTCTCGTCGCGGTTTGCACTGGCGCTGGCTGCCTTCTTCGGCTTCGTCGTACTCTACATTCAGCGCTTTAACATGAGCGTCGCTATCGTCTGCATGGTGAACAACACGGCCGTGAGGGCAGAGGCCGGAATCGACGCTGACGGCGATCTAGAAGGCGAGACTGGCGACCGCTGTCTGGCGACAGTCACGCTATCTAACGACACGACTGACGACGAGGTATCGCCGCGTATTGGTTATTGAAGTTTAATTATTATATTACTAATAATATTGATAATTATTATTAAGGTTATTGAACCCTATTAGTTTTTCTTATTTTTGACGCTAGGGCTAGACGAATATCATATTATATCGCCATAGAACGGGAAGAAAATGATATTATATTAGGAGTAATGAATGCAATGAAACGGTTGTTTTCATTTGCTCCTGATATTAATAGAGCTAATAATACAGTTAATAATAACAATGTATTATTAGCTCTTCATATTATAGATGTGTTATTTCATCGTTGCAGACGGGAGAGTTTGTATGGAGCAAACCTACACAGGGTATCGTCTTGAGCGCCTTCTTCTGGGGTTATTTGCTAACACAGCTACCTGGTGGTTGGCTGGCGACATACCTTGGTGGCAAACGGGTGTACGGATACGGTCAGATGCTCGCCTCTGTCATGGCGCTTCTAGCTCCGGTAGCTTCCCGCTATAGCTACAAGGCGCTGCTTGTAGTTCGTTTCATACAAGGCATTGGACAGGTACTCATACTAGTTTGTATTTTGTAAAACTAGTAAATGTCACTGACTGCTCCTTGTTATTAAAAACACAATGAGTTGTAAGCCTATACCTGTAGCCAACGCCACTGATCGCGTCTTAGCAGACATCGACTCACAAGCAACTCGTTTAGTTTTCTGTTGTAATAATTACATATGTGGATACAACTGTTATGTGAATACATTAAATAGCGCAATTAAACCTATCTAATGGTAATAAAATAATTGTACAGTTACAAACAATATCGATAAATAATCCTATTATTCTTTATAGTATTTATATGCATATATCTCTGATGTAAATGATGCACTACAGTTGTAATCGAGTGCTTGCCAATATTGCTAACTTTACATGACTTTAATATTTTCTACAGTGTAATTAATTGTGTGATTTTGTATCACGTGTCTTTATTATAAATTTACCTTTTAAATCTGCATGGAATATAAAAGGGAGTGGTCTTCCCAGCGATGCACGCATTCTGGGGGACTTGGGCACATCCATACGAGAGAAGCAAACTTGTGAATTTTACGATAGCAGGCAAGACGAAATTATTTTCTATCTACACAATTCGGCAATAATAAGAGTAATTAAGTGAGAAATTGCTAAGTATGGAGATAGAAAAAGTAGTTGTTAGGTGGATGGATGGCTGGATGGATGGATGGATCGATCGATTGATTGTTTAATGGATGGATGGATGAACGGACGGAAGGACGGACGGACGG